TGCAGCATTTCTAAATAGTATACAAAGTCTAATCCATAATTACCAATCCTCTCAGGATATCAGTCACGACTAAAAAAATTGCCTAATTAAATAATCCTAAAATTAATACAGATTTTGATATAGTTATGGCAGTCAAACAAACATGAAAAAAGCATACAATGGAAAAGAAGAAATAAACCCCTCAAAGCACTTATATTTCTTCAGCTGAAATCTAAGTTTTGGTTCCTTGATGATTTAATCACAAAATTAGATTTCTAAATTGTAACATAGTCCTTTCAAAGAAGTAGAACAGACTAAGTTTGCCTGTGAAAGCCTAAAAGAGCAAATAAAGCCCTTGAGCAAACAGAGAAAAAAAGAATTGCAACATGCAAACCCCAGCAATTTGGACACCCACTATCTATGATCAGGGATTACTAAAACCAGCTGATAGTTTAAGCAATCTGGTTAATTCCACAATTATCCTTTGGCCACCATAAAACAAACAAACAAACAAACAAACAAACACTCAAACAAAAACAATTAAAAAATAGTCAATTAAACTCAAAAAGAATTTAAGTGTATTCAGTATCTGTTAATCAATTACCAATAGATCACCTAATTAATGTAGTTTCAAAGTTGCTCTCAGGACAGAGATCCAGTCTAAAGGAAACCGTATCCTTACGGCATTTGCTAGCATCCTTGTTTTAGAAGAATAAAATTAACAGAAGAAAAAAATCTTCACATTTTTGCAATCGTCTCTTTGTTACATGACCTTACATTACTCCCCTTTTCCTTAATATATTTTTTTGCCTCTATAAATTTAAAGGCAGACATTTTATTTTACAACATCTATGAAAAGGAGTTCCTGCATAACTGCCATTCATCAGTGGCAGAAAAGACTATTACATGTCAAACCTAGAGAGCTACCTAGAGAGGTAGCTACTCTGGAGAACATGGACTAGATACACATTTTATCTTCTGTGTAATGATGCAAAACATCTTCAGACTAATACTATAGTTTAACAGTCTGTAGAAAGCTCTAAGGATTTTATAGTCCCAAAAAAGCAGCAGTGTTTAAGTCATTGCTTTCATATGCAGAGATGTGACATTACAGGTGGTAGTTGAAGGAAACATGGTAATTCCTAAAGTTCTGAAGTTCTAAGAACAACAATTTCTTTAGTTAATTTTGCAGTTGAGTATTTGGTTTCAACTACAAGAATGAAAAAAGGACCAACAATTCCCTCTCTGAATATTATGACAATCCATGCAGAAAGTCTTGGTCAACATTTTGTACCCAAAGAATCAGTCTAACCATGTCAGAAAGACTAGTTTAGTTTCCAGCCCTCAAATAAAACTAAGGCCACCTTTTCTTATTTGCAAAACACCAGTAAAAGGCTCTGTACAGTGATAATGAAGCTTTCCTACCTATCAATAAGTTTACATGACCATTAATAATCCCACAACCTTTAAAATGTTGCAGGTAGCTAAAATGAAAAATCGAAGAATCTAACTTAAAAACAGTGCTCGTCCATCATCCCTGAACACTGAAAGCCATCACTCTACAGTGAAAATAACAGTAAGGCAGATACCAAATCTTCCACCTTACACTATAGGCATAGCTGAGGTTTGATTATCATCTGGGGTTGCTTGGTCTGGAGAAAAGGAGGATCAGGAGGGACTTTCTCTCTGCAGCTACCTAAAAGGAGGCTGGAGTGAGAGGGTGTCAGTCTCTTCTCCCAGGTAACAAGTGCAGGATGAAAGTAAACAGACTCAATTTCTTCCAGGGGAGACTTAGATTAGGTATTGGGAAAAAAAAAATTGGAAAGGGCTTAAAAGCACTGGACCAGACTGCCCTGGGAAGTGGTAAACTCACCATCCCTGGTAGTGATAAAATAATGGGGATATAGCACTTGAAGACAAGGTTTAGTGATGATCATGGTGGTTGTGCTAGGCTGACACCTGGACTTGATGATCTTACGTTTTTAAATGATTGATTGATCATCAATCGATTGATTGATCCATCGATTGATGATCTTGATTTTTAAACCTTACTGATTCTATAATAATATACTAAAGAATCCTGTAAAGGAATTATTGTCTAGATAATTATTTTTTGCAAGAAAATTATGACCATTGTGTCTCTGAATTATTATATTAATTAAATTAATTTACATGGTCAGCTTTGAAATTGTCTTTGCTGAAATCTAATTCACTCAGTCATTTATAGATTAAAAATATTTTATCTTTGTAGTGTACCCACAAAATTAGGTACTACAGTCTTGCACAACAGTGCTTTGGATAATACCTACAAAGGTGTTCTTAAATGTTTTGCACTTACCAAATTAAAGGTATAATCCATCTAACAAACAGTACAAAGATATTCTTTGATGTTGGCAGAAAAAAATGTATAAATGCTTTCAAAACCACCAAATATGAAAATATTTCCTAGGAGCACACTTTTTTTAAAACAAAAAACCATTATGCCTTGCATAATGAGTATCTTTATCTTAAAACTGGGTTTATTTTCAGATACATTTATTAGGATATGAATCAAAAGTGAAAGCTGTATTTTAAAACAAAAAATAAGTCAAAATCTACCAGCTCATGAACTAAAAACATTTAGACAGCTTCCACAGCTAACAGAATACTCTGCTTTCCAAAATATTTAAGCTACGTATGACTAGTTGGCATTTAAGAGGCACATGTAAGACAAAAATTGTTCTCTCAGGAACACTACATTTTATTAATTAAAATAACTGAAAAATTTCTAAAATTCATTGTTTATTGCTTTATTTTAAAATTCATTGTTACATTAGAAACTGAGACTTGTGAAAGACATTAAGGAATTCAGGTCAGAGTATTAAAGTAGGGCAGTTAATCTCATTAACTTCCATAAATTTTTCTTAAAAGATACTTATTCATATTAGCACATTTCCAAGCAATACATTGGGCCTCAAAGCAATGCAACTGGCCTCAGTAATTCTGATATATATAATATATATATCATAAATATTTTTATATATATATACACACACATATATATATAAAATGAAAATATCAGATATATAATATCTGATATCTGATACAAATATATTAATAAAAAAAATTCTAAATAAAGCACAAAGCTATTTGTGTAATTACAAGAGTAAGTAAATAGAGACAGAAACAATCTAGAAACACAACAAAAATGGTAAGTGGAAAGCAATTTCTGTAGAAGATTATTTTTATTACATGTATATGCATGTAATAAAAATGAACTGTGCATGTATGAAAATGAATCAGAGAAACTTAAAAACATCATGTTCACAGGCTGATAAAAAAGATCCTTATAATTAATTTTCAGAAATAAGAATCCATTATCGCTTCAAAAAGTTACGGTTTCACAGATTTATGTGCGCACAATTACATCTAGTTTTACTTAAAATATAATTTCAAAAATCAGCTGACAGCCTCACTTGGCTACAGTTAGTTACTAGACTTCAATGGTTTTGACATGTAGAATATTAGTTGAAAAGTAACAGTCGTGCCTTTTGAGACAGGTAGCGCTTTGAGCTAAAAAGACGTCTTGTCTGGCTCTCTCTCCACTAATGTAGGACATCTTTTCCCTGAAGGCATTTTTGCAATTCATTAATCATTCTAACTGGAAAATTTCAAAGTTAAAGCTTTATGTTAATGCAAAGTTTATGTTGATCTAGGTACAGATATTGCTTTCAACTACTTAGAAATATATCTGGAGTACTTTCTAGTGGCTTCCAAGATCTACGGAGCCTGGCCCAAAGACAATAGAAACCATTACAGTTTCTCATTGACCTCATATCCTATAAATCAAGGATTATAAACATTTCTTACTCTGAAAACAAAATCTGACTTAAAATGTCACAGGGTATAAGAACTGACTGTATTTTACACACATCAAAGTAGACTTACTTAAACTTTGTTGTTTATTTTAAATACCGACACAGAACACTGGTGTTTCTTTAGCTTCCAAAGCGTGTGTGGGATAACAGTAATAACAATAATTCATCACAGTTAAATTATACTTCAGTACATGTAATTCCATAAATGAAAGAAAAATGCTTATAGTAGAACTTTCATTTTACGAGCAGGAAAATAACTGGAATACACAGGCACCATCAAAGTAGCTAGTATCAATGCGTGACACAAATGTTCCTGTTTCCACTATGCAAAATCAAATTTAATCATTCCTTTTTAGATTTATAAATCAATCTGGTTTATCCATATTCTTTTTGCACCTTCACATCAAAATGAACTAAAAACCTACCTAACAAGCAGAACAGAAATCATTCAGTTACCATCTTCTAAGAAATCTGCTTCTCAACTTTAAAGACTTCTTTTGCTTTTCTAATGTATCTAATATTTCTAATGGTCACTGAGTAGATACAGATTCTTGGCATGTTCTCAGAATCAGTTTGGTAGGGAAAAAAAATTTTGATATGGATAGGCAGAACTGTCACAGCCCAAATTCAAGCAAATATCCTAGAATTTACCTCTTTTTGTAAGCTCCTAAGAAATAATGGATTTAAGGCAAAATTTATGCCGAAAAATCCCCTTAAGAATTTAATGATGTTTTCAACTTCAGAACAAGCAGTACTTTCTGGGTTTTGTGCAGCCAGTCCTCACTGAAATTCCACACAATACAGAACACAATTTAAAACAGATCTGTAAACAACCACAAGAAATAAAAAAATCATAAAAAAAAAAAGAGTAGTAAGATTTTGTGCTCTGATTTCTATCATTAGGGACAAAAAATAAGGGGTTTGCTTTTTTTGGCCACGAAAGCAAAAAAAAAAAATAGAAATCAAAGTGACTAGAGAGTGAAACACTGAATATAAATGACAATCAGTAACTGTGAAACCAAAGAAACAGATTCTAGATCAGAGACATTGTTGAGAAAATAGGTATTATTTAGGTATTATATTGAGAAAATAGATATAATGATATTAGACTTTCAATTACATAAAAACTGCCTAGATGGGATATTAAAGATTTTTTTGCCTGACCTGTATTCATTCCTGTTCCAAATGCATGTTACCTGAAAATACAAAATAATGAGAAAAAATTTGTTAATTATAATATTTAGCTAGTTGGAACCGCTACAGATTTCCTTTAAAAAACCTAAACATGGCCAGTAAAGTTGGTAAAATAAAGAGGATGAAAAGAACTGCTGTGACTTTGAACTTATTTCTGTCATAGTGAAAATTTACATTTCAATTAATTCATACCAGTGCTGTAATCTATTCACAGCTTTTAAAGCCATTGAGCTTTTCCTTTTACATTTTGTATTGAAATACCTTGATTAACTCCAAATTCCACAATTACTTTACATAAAAATCTTCACATTAGTACTGCATAAATGAAAGGCTAGCAAAATCAGTATGATAACATCAATGACAGAATACATGCTTTTTATTTATACTTCAAAGGAGAGATTTCAATAAATTAAAGGCATGTCAGAATTTGTAAAAAATCTCTGCATCAACATGTCTGTATTTCTCCTTCTCTTCTTTCCTTTCTGCCCCCAAATCTATGCTTCTATCTATTTCCTGATTGACAAATTGTTTTTATTATAATGTTAATGCATTACATCAGAGTTGATAGCATATGCATGGAGGAGAAAGATAAGTGATGTATCTTAGTACCTTTTCCTGTGAAATTACATTAGCCTTCTGGGATACAGGATAGGATGAAGCTGCAGATTTGAAAATCATTACACTGCTTATAACCCTTTGTATTTATCCTCAGTGCTGCTAAAACTTTGCAGAAAATCTCATTTCTCTGAAGCTGCATTAATGTCAAGCCACCACTTTTTTTATGCCAGACTTCATTCCAGCTGGCAGGTAATGCACAAAAGGATGTAATATCAATCACAGGGAATTATAAAGAAGCTAAAGATTTGGTATATTTGGCAAAGAATTCAACCAGTGCTCTACTTCTAAATTACTATGCATCTTTGCTCTTCTATTCCGTTTGTGTTTTATTAAGCAGAAAGATGAAATGATGAGCAATGCAGTCAAGGCTGTACTTAATGTTTCCTCATTTTCTTACCACCTGGGAGGTCTCTTATGATTAACATAGGTAACTTTTTCAACCTCAGAAACAGTCACTTTACAGAAACTGTACAGGGCATGCCTGAAGGAGGAAATAATCCAAGGACCTGCTAATAATCTGGTCAAAACGAAGCAGAAAATAGAACCTCTCTCCATTCACACACCACTTTAAAACTGAAACAAAACCCCACAGTGCAGTGAAGGAAAATATTCTTCTCACTGATCTATTTCACTGACTGACTGATACATCAATATTAAGCTTAAGATTTCAATCATAAACATAAAAAATATACATATTTGTATTATAGTAAAGTTAATAAAGACTGTCCATGTCCTTCAGAATGGCTTCCATTCTTTTCACTGGGTTATTTAGAAACAACATGAAATTTCATAAGAATTTTACTTTTTTTACCTCCATATCATTCTTTTGATAATAGCAGATAAGTGCAGATCTTAAGATTCTCTTCTGAACAGAGTAATGCTCAAGTGGTGTTTTATACCCTGTGTCAAAAAGAGGGATTCCAGCTTTCAATCAAAACAAGAGGCTTTTATCATTACCAGGTGTCCTCAATAGAAAGAACACTGCAAAGTACAACAACAACAAAAAAAAATTGTCGAATGGTTTGGGCTGGAAGGGACCTTTATCAACCACCTAGTCCACCAGGCCCTGCCACAGACTGGGATGTTCTTCACTGGACCAGGCTGATCAAAGTCGCATTCATTTTAAACACCTCCCGGGATAGGGCACCCACAACTTCTCTGGACAATCTGTTCCAGTGCCTCAACACCACTGTAAAAAAATGTCATCCTTAAGTTCACTCTAAATCAACCCTCTTGTATTTCAAGACCATTAGCCCTGGTCGTCCCCTGGTCTCCCACTACAGGGTCTCTATCTTTCTTATAAGAACCCTTTAGGACTGAAAAGCTGAAATTACATCTCTCCACAGAGTTCTTTTCTCCAGCATGAAGAACTCCAACTCTATTAATCTTTCCTCATAGGAGAGGTGTTCTATCCCTCTGAACTGTTAATTATTTTTGACCTAAGCTTTATCCATCTTAAGCTGGCTATCTTTTATCTACTACTCACATGATGATAATGATGAGCCAATCTTGTTGAACTGATATTGTTTTTCTCCATAAGGACACTTTCACCATAGACTTTTAGCTTCTCTTACTAATGCTTGATACCTTCTCTCTTGGAGCAAGAGATATCTTCAGCTGATGAAACTTGGCCTATTATATGAACACGTACATGTAAGCTGTTCTATGCTAACCTTCCAATAAAAGAAAGGCATTCAATTATTAAAGAACAGGTGGAGTTCATCTCTAGTAGGTATGTGAAGCAGTTCAGATGAACCATGTATATATGGCACTACAGGACACAATTAATGGTCATAGGTTGGAGTCTGTGACCTTAGGTGTCATTTCTGTCCTAAAGGATTCTATGATTCTAGACGTTCCTGTTTCCCTTAGCTGAATTCAAGCAAGTGTCAAGCTCACTAGATGTTCACAGAGCTAAGTCAAGGGACTACAGATATAAAATACATAACTGGAAAATATGACTCGGTATAAGAAAAAATCAAAACAAAACATGAGTATGGTCAAATAGTGAAGAAATAAAGAATGTGAATCCTTAAAACATTTGAAATTTGATGTGGGCTAGACCTACAGAGTCAGATCTAACTGGAACTGCTGTGAGCAAGGGGTTGGATGAGAGGACCTCCCTCTCAATCTGAGCAAGTCTATGATTCAATTTGCAATGCAAATTACAGGAAAATGTACAAGCATTAGCTGGCAACATTTCTCACAGGCCTGAATATACATCAAAGCAAAACTTCAAAACAAAGATCAAGGAATATTAAGTAGTTCTGTGACTGTTTCTTTCCAAGGGTTGGGTTATTTTCTTTCAAGTCAAATGACTCATCTATGACTGATACGTGTATGTCATGTCACCTACATCAAGCATGAAAAAGCTCAAGACTCTTCATTAGCCTACTTTTAAAACTGAATTTTGCAAATTAATATATAAAATATACACACATAAAACCATATACTGAAAACTGATAAATTCAATTTCTTGGAAGAATTGGTAACTTTAATTATCACAGAGTCAGTTTAAAACATTTTCTGTACTGCAGCAAGTATTAAATTTTTCATTTCTATACTTTCTTTTGCTTCTGCATTTCAGCAGAAAAAACAAACCAAAGTACTCTAGTGAATGTACAAGTAAAATTTCTGGGATGTCAGACACTAGCACTGGTATTTTTCCACAAACAAAACAAGGGAATTTGAATTAGACAAGGGATCTAATATACAGAAATGCTCAGAGCTTCTACCTGGAATTAAAGCCAAGGCAGCTGTGCTTGAAGATACTGAAATTACATACTGATAACTGTTTGTAAATATTCACTCTTCCAGAAGGAATATTTATCTTTAGTTGATACTTCAGACTTAAAATCCCACCACTCATACTTTGTCACATACTATGAGAATAAGGATATAAATGGGAATTTCACCTTTCATGATACTATAAAAATAAATGTAGGATTGTGAAGCATTTGGGAACCATAAAGATAATTGTTATTAAAGAAAGGTAAGGCAAAATAAGAATTCTATATTTAGAGCACAATACAATACTTACAAATGAATGAGGAATAAGTCATGTACAGAGTAATCAAAAGAAAAAAAATTAGCACTTACTCTCCGAACTTTGCACATCCTATAAAGTGAGAATTTCAAAAAAATAAAAACCTGAATAAGACTCCATAGAAATACTACATACATACAGAATAACATGTTAAAAACAAGGGAGAAAGATGTGGTATAAGGTGATATACATCTAGAATTATTGCTGATATTTCCTAACTCTGAAATACGTAATTATATTATTTCTTTATCAGAGTGCTTAAAAGGTTTTATTATATTTTTTTAATTCACTAATACCATTTACCTCAAAAAATATCTTCCATAACATCATATTTCATCACCACCTACTTTGCTTAACTTTTAGCACTGATTCTCTACTATCTGGGACTATTTTTATTGTGAGAAGCCCAAAATAATTACTATGCAGGCAGTACATAGAGCTTATTTTAATATTGCTTCTCATCTTCTTACAATTGCTGACTAATATTATCCTTCTGGTTTTCAATCCTCACAGCTGGAATTAATAGTAATTAAAAACTGGCATAGGCTTTATTCACAAATATTTAAGAACTCATATCAAAGCCTTGAATTCTAACAGATGAAAAATTTAGTAACCCTCTTCAACATGTTCTACAAACAGAAGACAGCATCCTTTACTTTTTCTTATATATATTTTTTCTTATAACTCATTTGAGGAATCTAGAGGTGGGTCAACTGAGCATTTAGAAATATATTTAAATTCTGGTGTCTCCAATATAGAAGTTCACTTTCTAAATTAACTTGTTAAAAAACTTTAGGTTAACCAAAATATGTATATTTTCTATAATATCACTTTGTTGATTTTACAAAAATAAATTACTTTGACTCTAATCTGTTTTCAATTCTAAACAATTTTAATAAATTATTAACCGTAACATGCATTAGAATATAAACTATTTCTACAAAAAATAATTATAGCTTGCAATAATGCTTTAAAGCAGTCTATTTCTAAAATAAATATTTATGATAGATAGTTATAACTTAAAAATAATTCTCTATCATGGACAGTTTCATTTATAAAAAAACATAATTCTTCTAAAGCAGATTACAACCCTGTCATAAGTATTTTTCTAAAAAACCTCTAGAAACACCAAAATGTTGAGCAATAGAAGGCTGTAAGCCTCAAAAATATCTCTAAAGTAGGTATAGAAAAGTAATAAAATATGACAAAATAGGTAAGAAGCAGAAAAGGAAACAAAGACACTTTCTGAAACTGTTTTAATCTAATCTGCAGAAATACTGCATTATCACCACTGTGATTATGGTGCTAGTGAATAATACTAAAAAATATCAGAATTAA